TTGATAATGATTATTGTAATGTATGTGGTTGTCATTATACACGACATGCAAACTCGAAATATAGATTTGATTATGTAATTGAGAAAGAACAACAAACAGCACAAGAAGTACTTGAGAGATATAATGAAGGTAAAAAAGGAATGGCTAGTGCAGAAAGTATGTTAAAAAAGTTAGAAGAAGATTATTACAAAATTCAGATGGAATGTTATGATAAAGAAGTAGAAATTGTAGAATGTATTAACACATTATCTGCAATAGCATTAAATGATAAAATTACAGGGTCAAATGAATATTTAGACATAATGATTCAATCAGAAAATGATGAAAAGAAAACGGGGTATAAAGTACGAATTGAAGGATATAAACAACTTAAACAAGCAAATGATATAATAGAAGGTATTATGAAAAAATCAACAACAAAAAAGAGTAAGGATGAGATTAAGGCTGAGCTTAAAAGAAGAAAGACAGATTTAGTTAATGGACAAAAAATAACATTAGATAAAAATTGTGAAGGTTGTGTTATTTGCTAAAACCGAATAACCAAATGAAAGCTTTAATTAAATGGTTTTAAAAATATTTGTTTAAATAGGTAATAAAAAAGATAAATAATATTGATTATTATTGTCAATTGACTTCACTCAATCTATTTTAAATAATAGAATTAATCAAACAAACTGTTGGTAAATATATTGTTTTAACATCATTAATAATTTCATTTTTAATATTTACACTATTGAATTAACTTCACTCTTGAATGACATATTTTTCATTATATTTGTTTTGTAAATATTGTTTTATTATTTATTTCGACCTCTTCTTTCTCATTATTTTTAGTATTTTTTATTTTATTCTTTTCAACGTTTGAAACTCTTTTGTATTTATTTCATTCATCAACAAAAACACATGGATTGAAATGAAACATATTAAAAATAATAATTTGAAATTGAAATTGTCTTTTAATTTGATGAATCAACAATGAAATTGATATTCAATGAATGTTTGAGACAAACCCACAATTCAAATTACTCTCTTATTATTTTGTTGATAATTTATTATGTTGTTTGTTTCAAAAATAAAATATTTCATAAAAAAGAATATCATCTGAATCATTCATCAAAAGATGAGATATTTCATTTCTTTGTGTTTTATTGTATGTTGAAATACATATTTAACGAATTACTCAATATACATTTGAGTAAACATGGTAGAAAAGAAATATAAAAATAATATGTCCACAACATGATTTGAAATAATATGTTTATAACATGAAGTATATGATATCAAGTATGTTGAATGATAATTTTAAAAAGAAGGAGTTGATGAAAAGAGAAATGAAATGAATGAAGAAAGAAATTGAAAAAAGACATATTGTACTTCATTAGTATTGATTTAACGAATCCATTTCTCAAAAAAATCTCTAAATCAATCAGACTCAATAAGTATATAATATTCATTGTGATAATATAATAATATTTCATTCTCATTCTTCTGAAATAAAATACTTCAAAATAAAACAATATTTGATAAATTACTTACAATATTGTCAATTGAAATTATATGTTCAATAATCATTTGTAATGATAGATAAACATTTATTTATATTTAATTTGAATATTTTTGTATAAAATATTCATCAAAAATAAACAATTCAGATATAAAATCAAGTAAAATGTTTGTTATAATATTTTATTTATAGAAGAAATATAAAATATGTGATTTAACAATAATACTAATTTTACAAATATAATTGTGAAATGTAATAAATTAATTGAATTAAAAAATGAATTATTGTTGTTAAAGATATTAGCATTCAATATTTAATGATGAAACAACAAATTAAGATTATTTATTATAACTTCGTTCAATCTCTCATTTCTGTATATTTATTTCAATATAATGTTATAATATTCTTTGAATAATAAGAAATAGAAGTGAATAGTCAAAATGAGTTGAAAAATGATAAATTAATACAAATAAAAAGGAAAATAGTCACATGTTTGAATATTATGAATCATAAAAATAAGTTATTCAATGATAAAATCAAGAACAATATTCAATGAGACATTGATAAATTGAAACTAATAATCAAATGAAAATAAAGAAAATTAATAAAATAATAATGAAGAAATAAATAATACTCATGTAGAATATGAAGTTACAAATGAATGTGTGAAATAATAATGAAATTGTTGCCATTAATTTATTCAATACATACAAAATTTACGACTAATTTTATCAATAA